TTTAATCCCGGTGATATTTATCGATTAGGTATGAGATTTGTTTTGTGTGTGTGTGTGAGGGAGAGTGTGTGTGGCGATCTCACGAAGAGAAGACCTCCGGGCCGGGCCCGCCGGGAGGCGCTTACAATATCAATAGTTGTAAAAATACAATCATTTTAAAAACTTATATTGAATAAACAGACATTAATGCTATTAAACAGTTATAAAATCTATAGTAAAATTCAAAACTAAATTAAAACACAACACATTATACTTTGCATTTTAAAATTACTTACAAAAAATACTATTTACAAAAACAAATAAAACATAGAAATGAAATATAAAATAAAAAAGTTGATAACATTTTGTAAACAAAATAATTGATTGCAATAAAAGACTTGAATTTTACGTCAAATAGTGATAACACTAACGAAAGTGAGGACAAAAGCCATAGACATTGACGGCTATTGAAACCACAATCGCCGCCAATAATACGGAAACTGCGGTCGACTGCGGGTTAGGTCTGGCAGTGGATGACTGGTTGGGACCGGAATGCTGTGGCGGACGGACACTAACACTGGGCGTCGGGTAGGGATTAGTCTTGCTATTCGTGTCACGTTCACACGTGATTGTGAGTGTGTGTGAAAAATTTTAGACACCCCGTGAGTGAGCGTGATTCACGATTGAAATCCCACTCACGTCACTCACGGTTTTTCAATGGGCAATTCATTATTACATATATTCTATATAAAGTTAATAAAATTTTGTATACATATTTTATATTCTTATTCATTACAATTATGTAATAAGGTGTTACAGTATGTCAACCAGATTTATGATTTATTGCATGGTATACTTGTTTGCATAGCGAAATATACAGCCTACTTCTATATTTAAATAACATATAGCTAAAACGTGATTGACGTGAGTAGGGTTGTGACACTCGGTAAATTACCATTTTACCGTGGTAATTTACGGTAATTTACTTGTAAATTACCACGTTTTCTGAATCTTACATGTAAATTACAACATTCAAACACGTGACTTGATATAAAGTCACCATTGATATAAAGAACTTTTGATATTAGTCATGTCCAAAATGCCAATAATTTAATAATTTTAAAAAACTTTAATTTTGAAAATTAATTATTATTGATTTTGAGAGACAATAATGACTTTAGTAATAATAAATAACTTGCAAAATTGTTTTTATTTAATATTTTTGTTTCAAATTTAAATTATATTACAAGTGATAACTATCGTAATTAGGTATATAATTAATATTCCATAAAGAACTGAACATTAATTCAATTAATTTGTGGAAAATTACCAATTTTACCGAATATTACCGTAAATTACCGAATATTACTGGTAATGTAAGATTGAATTGAATATTACCGGTAAAGTAACAACCCTATTNATATTACCGTAAATTACCGAATATTACTGGTAATGTAAGATTGAATTGAATATTACCGGTAAAGTAACAACCCTAGACGTGAGTGAGAATGAGTGAGTGGAGTTTTTAATTTCGTGAACGTGAGTGAGTGTGAAAATTTTTTTCGTGAGTGTGAGTGACCGTGAGTGAAAATTTACTAAATTTGCACCACTAGTAGGGATCGATACCTTTGGCCAGACTGTCAACAATATGGTCGCAGTCGGCGCCCATCGGTAGCCGACCGGACAGACCGTTGCAAAAGCTATTACTCAATGGATGTCCCTTTTTGTTGACGCAAATGGATTTCAGCGGCTTATCACTGATGTCTGGTTTGCCCTCATCTTTACGACAGTGTTTGTGAACCTAACCATACATTCACACAATGGTTGTGTCATTACATATTAAAACATACATTTATACAATGAATAGCATATATGGACACAACATACCAGTGTCTTAACCCCGCGATGCAACTCGTATTCTCTGCAACACGATTTGGCCAACCAGTTGCGTAGATCGTCCCTGGTCAGATTTCAGCCGTTTCTCAAACATGTATATAATTTAATATCAATGCTATGGATATAATCGGCACTCCCTTTGCAATCGTAACCAAACATAAAATACGGCTCAAGTTATAGCCATTTACGAGTTGTGGCACCGGTTGTTGGTAGTGTTGCCAACTCGAAAATTTTCAATAGTGGACATTTACTCTAAAACCATTAAAAATAGTGGACAAATAGTGGACATAGTTTTTCACGTGATATTTTTAAGTTATTTTTAATTTACTTCGATTTAAAGTAATTAATATATCATGATAGTTTTAATGTAGAACATTTTATACAAAGAAATCAGTATTGAAGTTTGGTTTTTATTATTGACGTTTACTAAAATTTTGCTAAAAATCGGTTTATTTTTAAAAATCTATCAATATTTTTACATTTTCATATTGATTTAGTTAATATAAAAATAATGGACACTTGAAGTATGTTACAATATAATTACAGATAATATTTATTATTGCAACTTAAACATATAAAATTAAAAATAGAATTTAAGTGTCCACTATATTCAAATAAAGACACATCAAATAATAATTTAATGGCTTTATAATAGTTACTTTTTAGAATATTTGATAAATTCATTGGCAAATTTCAAAATAACAAATCATTTGCCAAAATTTAATGAATAATTTGCACTATTATAAACAAGATTTTAATAATTTGTCAAAAATTGAATAGTGGACATGTCTATGTCCACTATTTGCTCTTCAATTCTAAGTGGACAGGTTCATGAAATAGTGGACTGTCCACTTGAATAGTGGACAGTTGGCAACCCTAGTTGTTGGGTCTATACAGTGCTAGCCATCGGGGATCTTAAGCTCCGCCCATAAATATAACTTCAAACATGCGCTGTTTTGAGTTCGCTTCGAGTGTCACAATGCAAAA